CGCACGCACGTTCGCACACACGCACTCACACACACACACACACACGTGCGCGCGCACAACCAAACAGCACCGTTTCAGACGTGCAGTACGGCCTAAATAAAAGTACGTAATATAGCTTGCTGCGGGAGAGAGGGGTGGGAGACCGAGGGAAGATGGCAAGAAAGACAGCCGAGAGGCGGTGGAAGAAGAAAGAGGTTGAGTGTGCGACAAGGGAGACAAGGGGAAGGGCGGACGGGGATAAAGTAGTGGTTTTGCACCCTACTGGCTAGGGCGCTCTTCTAATTATAAACATAGGTCTACTGATAAGAATCTATGACAGAAACCTATGCTGAGATATTCCCTAACTATTTTAAATGCATATTCATCACAAAATATAACTAACGGTGCACGCGCATGCGCAATATCTCCCGAGAGAAATCGTATTTTGCAAAGATTAGGCATTTAAAATGAAGAGGAGTTATCCTAGCATAGGTTTATATGATAACATTCCATCAGTAGACATCATTTAAGAAATAAGTGGAAGACCTTGCATGTAAGATCCCGGCTGCGTATACCAGCCAGTACACAATCTGGCTACGTTAGTGTGTTAGCGCATGCGCAATATCTCACCAGATGAGTTATATTTTGTGATGAATATGCATTTAAAATGGTTAGGGGGTATCTCAGCATAGATTTCCCTAATAAACATTTATTAGTTGACATGTGTTTATAATTAGGTAAGCGCCCTAGCATGTAGGTTACAAAACACCTACTTTATGCTCTCGTGTCCTTCCCCTTGCCTCCCCTGTCCCTCGCTCAGCCTCCTTCTTCTTCTACCGCCCCAACTATCTTCCCTGTCACCTTCCCTCAGTCTCCCACCCCTCTCGCCCGCAGCAAGCTATATTACGTACTTTTATTTAGGCCGTACTGCACGTCTGAAACGGTGCTCGCGCATGCGCAATATCTCACAAGAAGAAGAATATTTTGCCAAAAGTATGAATTGAAAATGAGGAGGGGTTATCCAAGCATAGATATCTATGATAATATTTCATCAGAAGACATCATTTAAGAAATAGGATATGTATACGTATATATTATGTGCATATCGATCGCCGTCGGCCGTACAAAAAGATGGCGCTCTGCAATTCGCAAACACGCAGGCGGTCGCCGAAGTTTACCATGTTTTCCTATAGTCGGATAGCCCTAAAATGGTTTGAATGTATAATATCACCTCGTGTTCTCTATTCTCGGCGCGAACGGGCATGCACAAATCCTAATTTTCCCCTTATAAAACTGAGAAATTATTCGAAACTAGCCTCGTACCCGGCATATATCGGACAAAAACGCGTTCACCCCACGTTCAACTAGGTTGTCAAACAAGGTTGATAAACAAGGTTGTCACTATATTGTGCTCCTTACAATAAATAAAGTGGAAATTAAATATAGAAATGTTATATCAACCTGGTTAAAGATTTTCACACTATATTTTAAATAATATAACTTTAACACATCATATGTCAATTCATATGTATAGTATGTAAGTCATGTCGCATTACAGGCTACATGTAATGGGTGACACTAGCGCCGACTAGCGGCAAAATAAAAGTACACAAATCGTAGCGTTGCAGGGAATGAATATGACGGGAAAGTTTGGTTGTTCACAATTACAAAAGAGAGGCAAGCGCATCCAAATTTTTCACATCATGCCACTCCCGAACATGTCCTTTAAATATTAGATGTGTTTTCTTGACGAACTGAGATGACTTTTTGCAAACAATTGACATTTGAATAGACAGGTCTGACTATTATCCACCCACGTTTAAAAGGTTTCGGGAAAATTGATGCCTCATAATTAATAAAGTATGGCATTAAATTCGGGATATTTTATAGCACGTGTACATTATATATTATAAATAATATAAATTCCACAGAATTATAGGTAGTATATATGACGCAATTAGGAAAAAACAGCCAGATATGATTGCGGAAATAATACAGAATATTGTGTATCATGAACAGCCAAAATAAGAATGCAGAGGACGTACGAGCGCCCCCAAGCGTCGATATACGTAACGAAAAACAAGTTGTGAATATACATTATTATGAAATTACAGTATATACACGATATATGGCGAAATTAGAAAAAATAGTGAGTAAGTGTACTGTAGTATATAAAAAATGTAAGATAGCTTTCAAAATACAGCGGCTCTCTCTCTCTCCCTCTCTCTCCTAGGCATGAATGTACACACAAACGGACGCACGGGCACATACGCACGCACGTTCGCACACACGCACTCACACACACACACGTGCGCGCGCACAACCAAACAGCACCGTTTCAGACGTGCAGTACCGCCTAAACAAAAGT